CATTTCACTCAGTTGCAAAAGATTTTCTTGTGATAGTGATATGGATGGAAAAATGGAGTAAATAACAGAAGTGACTACTTAAGTGTTTCGTGCAGTTACAGAGCAGAGTAGATAAAAAAGACAATAAACTTTAGTAACGGCTTGGACGAAATTTATATGTTAATTTAGTAATAACATCTCTGATAGCGAGGATAAAAAAAGCAAAGAAATTAAGCTGTGGAATAGTCTGCCATGCCCAGTTTTAATTTAAGATGAAAGAACTATGGCAGACGACGCCCTAGTGTGCTTTGTTTTGAAACAGGTGTCCAAATAAAATGAAAACAAGTATGATATATTATCTCCCCCGTTTGTTAAGCTAGCTGTCTATTAAATATTACCATTAAAATCAAATACATCCTTATCCTTGTTATTATGTTTTCTCTACAACGCACGCTGTAATTCAACATCACATGACATCTAACAATCAAACTGTTTCTTCCCAAAAAGTCTTTGAGCGGAAACATGCAGAATCTATGACGCCAGAGTGTAAAAGCATACTGTTACGCATAAATCACTTAAACAGTAATCCTTTATGGAAACCAGTTGATTTTCTTTCCATCGAGATCCTTGAGAAATAAAAAAACAATGTTTACCTTGTGGCCAGCCGTGAAGTGTTAATTGAGATACGCCTAAGACTTCAAATTTAAGAGAAAGGTCCTAATTGCCAGACTATTCCAAGGAAAACCTGTGTTGCTTTAAAGGATTCTCGATCGAGTAAGATACTTTCAAAAACTGCAGAATGATTTGGAGATACAGGAAGGGTTAAACGTTTGTATCACGGCGGAGTCACTAAAAAGGCGAAATACTTAAAGTTTAAATTCAATGTTGAATTGATACATATATTTGGTTACTTATACCAGTGGCGAGACCGGCAACAGCGTACGGAAACAATCATATTATATAATAGAGATCCTTTTCCGACGAATTTTCTAACATGATTAGGGGTGGAACTATAGGTGTTTCTTCGGATGATGAAGCCAGAGACCTTAAGGTTTAGCTGATTAAAAGTTTACTATGTGCATTCAAGTTTAGAAGTTAGATGGAGTAGTATTATTTTTTAACTTTACAACATTAGTCACACAAGAAAATTTCTGTCCAAATTATAAAGCATTGAAACCCTTATTCGTGCGTTTATCAAAAGGCGGCTTGATTAATGCAACAGTCTTATCTCAAATTTCTTTTTCAAAACGCATAAGCTGGCTTGGTATACTCACTGCCTAGGTTCTGACACGCCATGTCGATAGTACAGCCTTGAGGAAGCGAAGCGATGCAGCGTGTTCATTTTTAGTTTATTTAAATTACTTCTGAAAATTTTGCATAATAAGAGTGTGGCACAGACCCTCTATTTTGTGTTGAGTTGGGGCGGCGACCTGACCGGGTTAGAAGGGTCTTTGTGATCGGCCAAACAAAACAACAAATAAAAGCACAAACGATGCCCCTTGCCCTAGGAATGATATGAGCTGAGAGCTGCAGATTAACAAGGATGAATCAAAAAATATATTTTTTTAAACAGGTGTAGGTAAATTGCTTTAGTTAGTAGAGATCGTGGGCAAATAGCCAAGGTGTAGAAAATATCATAATAAAATGAAATCTCTATGGTGTGCGCTTTGTCAAATAAACAGATAAATAACCAAATAACATTAAGGCATAGGCTACGTTATTAGATTCAGTACACTTGGAAACTCCCTGAGTGCTCCGAAAGTTTTAACATCGGATTTATAGACTAGGTCAAATGGCGACGTCTCTATATAGAAATAA